ACGACGACGACTACTACTACTACTACTGTACAACAACAATAACAATAACAACAACAACAACAACAACAACAACAATAGCAACAACAACAACAACAACTACTACTACTACTACTACTACTACCACGACTACTATTTCTACTACTACTACTACTACTACTACTACTACAGGGTTTGTTAAGGTTTGTTGTAGACTTCGGTTTTGGAGATTTTTTCATTGGAGTTAAGCCTGGAGGTCGAAGCCTCAACAGATTATGTCATGAAGCGTTCGCGCATTAGGGTTTAGGGTTTAGGGTTTAGGGCACACACCAACACTTACCTTCAGGACGAGATGAACCCCACAAAGGGGTGTAAGGTTCATATACCCCCTACACCCTAAAGCCTATAAACCCCATGTAGGGATTCATAGTACCGGGGGTGAGGACACATTTCTCTCGGTTTGGCGGGCTAGCGACTCAATGGCTGAAAGTAACTTCTGATAGCCCCTTACAGGAACTGCCCTAAGCTTCCAAATATCCCTTAGTTACGGGTTTAGGGTTTAGGGAATATACCTTCAATGATATTAGGGATCCTATTGTAGCTTAAAGTATATTCCCCAATACAGGGGTTTTGGAATTTTGGAATCTCTAGGTAGCCCTTTGAAGGACCTGCTCATAGAGCCGCTCAAGGGAACCCTTTTACAGGAGTAGGGCTGCTTTGGGATTCAGAGCCTGCCGAAGTTTGGTTGTTCAGGGGTTTACGGTTTAGGGTTCCAACTTGAACGGCTTCTATAACCCTTCTGACAAATAACAAACCGTAGCGGTCTACGGAACCCGAAGGGTCCATGTGCCCATACAGTATATGATTTGGCTCTAGAGTCACTAACTACGCTTTTAGGCCAAAGTATACACATCAGAGGTACATGCACCCTTAGGGGTTAGGTTTTTGTGAGGGCCGGGTTCTTGTCCCTCAACCCTAAACTGAAACCCTAAGCCGCTGCTTGTGCGGATGGATGTTCAGGGGCTTCAAGACTCGGGGGGCTCATCGGCGTGCCGTTCGAAGAACATTCGGTTTGCAGGATCCTGGTGGAGCCACACCCTAAACCCTAAACCCCTAAACCCCTAAATCCCTAAACCCCAACCCTAAACCCTAAACCCCCGTCGGGATCCATGTCTTCTGGGCCGAAAGTAGTCTAGGGACTCAAGGATTCTTCGAGTTTGGCGGTCAGGTGTTGGAGTTATGGCACAAGGGATCCCAATATCGATGCCGATCAGTGGCAGCCTTATTATGAGCAGATAAAAAACACCCATAGATAAAACCTGACAAAGACCTCTTTTCATCTCGCAAGCAAACCCTAAACCCTACACCCTAAAATGCCCACCAGGACTCTCATCCCAGCCTCATCGGGAGCGATTTCTACCGCAAGTCGGCACCAGCCCGAGTCGTTTTTGTCTTGTTGAAGGGCTTTTTGGTTTAGGGTTTGGGGGTTGAGGGTTGCTTGTCTCGTTGAAGGGCGTTTCAGTTGTCAAGAGCATTTTGGGCTTACTGTGGCTCCTGGAATTATAACCCTAAAGAACCAAGCAATAGAACCGCATCGGGCTGTTGTATCCTAAGGCTCTAAGGACTCATATTTGAAGGCTTTTGGGCCCAAAGATTATACTATATAAGGCTTTTGGGTAGGGTTTTAAGGTTTTGCTTGTGTGGGTCGTGGTTTCGCATATCCAGCTAGGCCTGATCTTATCGGCAAGTGCCGAGTTTAGGGCTTAGGGTCTAGGGTTTATAGGGTTTAGGGTATAGGGTCTAGGGTCTAGGGTCTAGGGTCTAGGGTTTAGGGTTTAGATCTCCTGTAGGCCCAGTTGCCAGGTACCCAAGAGGAAGGGCCAATGCAGGGGTCGGAATAAATAGTGGTCTCTCATTTCTGATAGCATCTGGTTATATCCAATACATAATACAAGTCTGCAAAGTACGTATGTAATGCATGTAAGCATGTAGGTATGCATGTCCGAATGCATGGATGTATGCATGTGTGCATGCATGCTACAAGTGGACTCTCTGCTTATATGCGGTACGCATACACGGGAGTACGTATAAGTGTATCGTCTGCCGGTTGTCTTTGATTCCGACCCACAGGCTCACCACAGAAGGTGCTTGGGAGCCTACGTTAGGCCTGCCTACACCCTAACCCGGGTCTAGGGTTTAGGGTTTAGGGTGCGAGAGGAGCTTATGGAAATGTGCGAAGTGGCGGGCATGATGTTAAGGCTTAACTTGCTAAGCGAAAGCATTTCAGTCCTGCACCTGTCTCCACCTGGACCCTAAAAGCCCAAACCCTGCCAAAGCCCTTCTTCGTGTTCTCCTCCCCGAAACCCTAAACCCGCAACCCCAAAGCCTAAATCCTAAATCCCAGCCCGCCCTCCTTCTTCTTCTCGACAGGCGCAAACCCTGTTCGAAAGCGACCAGTACACTGTCGACACTGCTTCGCCCACCTCTGATGGCTCCAAGTTACAGGCAAGTGGAGACGACATGATGCCTGCCTGCCTGAGATCTGTTTCGAACTTGCTCTTGTTAAATGAGCTGGTGATGTTATGACCGTGGTGAAGGAAGGAAGGCGATGAGGTTGCCGAAAAATACTAGGATGGTGCCCTGGGATCAGGACTACGAACACTCGTCTGTCAGACTACACCTATCGTAGTTCTCACATTGCTGCCACGATCATTAAACTTAGAATTAAACTTAGATTTGCCGTCATCAAATTTATTTTCGCTGTCGTTGTCGCACCCGGAAGTAGTCGTCGTCGTCGTTGGTGTTGCTGGTTGTGGTGGTCGTTGCCGGTTCAGCCGAGCCCCGACCCTAGGCTTTTCCATTATGGTCTTTGTGCCCAAGAGCCTCAAAACATGAGTCCTTAGAGCCTTCGGGTTCATGTAACTCCACAGTCAAAGTAACTTCTGATTTTGTTCTGCCAGCCGTCTAGGGTTTACCTGTATCCCCAAACCCTACAAAGTAGTAGGTTATGACCCCTTAATTTTAAGGTATAACCTCTAAAACAGCAGGTTTTTGGATACCCAGGTAGGGCTTCGTCGGCAAGGTTTGCAGCTTGGCACTTTGGGGGGTCGCAGGGTCTGAGGGCAACATGCTTTCCATCTCCTTTCAGTGTCTTACCAGGGCCTGAACATGCACAATATGCTTTGCTAAAGCTGAATACTACCGTATACTACAGACAGACTGTTTGAATACTCTACTTTGAAGGTTCACTTCAAGAACGGAGTTGTCGAGAATGCGGTGACCGAGGAGTACGTGTCAACGTGGCTCCACGCTTTTGCCCCGTATGTTGGAGCCTCCTTCGCAAGTGATGAATTTCCCACCTCCCCTGGCATCAGTGTCGCATAACAAATGTATAGTCTATACTAGTCAAGCGTCTATATTTCGATCAGTTTCTGCCTGCCCGCCAGACCCAGCAACATGTAGATGGGTTGGCGGGTTCTGGTTGTAAGGTTTCACCTGGGACCCCTCGCAACCCCAAAGCCCTAGGCCCCCTTAGAGTCCTTGTGTTGCATTGTAGAACCATCCGAAAACACCAAACCCTGAACTCCTGAACCCTAAACCCGAAACTCCTGATATAAGCCCTAAGGACAGTCACTGAAAACCCCTTTGCCCCTGAACCCTAAACCCCCGAACTCCTGATCTCCGGTTGCCGCAAGCCGGAGGCCCGTCTAAACCCTAAACCCCTAAACCGTTAAACCCCCAAACCCAAAGCTCGAAACCCGAAACCCTAAACCTAAACCCCTTATGGAACCGGTATAGATCCCATTTAAAGGAACCCTAAACCCCTGATAGAACCCTGGTAGATCCCTTTAAAGGAACCCCAAACCCCATAAAGCACCCTGGTAGATCCCTTTAAAGGAACCCCAAGCCCTATAAACCCAAAACCCCTAAACCCTGAACCCTAAGCCCTAAACCCCAAACCCTACACCCTAAACCCTAAACCCTAAACCCTTAAACCTTTAAACCCCTAAACCCCTAAGCCCCTAAACCCTTAAACCCTAAACCCTAAACCCGAAACCCGAAACCCCTAAACACTAAACCCCTTAAGCCCTAAACCCCTAAACCCTGAACCCTAAACCCTTAAACCCTAAACCCTTCAACCCTTAAACCCTTAACCCTTAAACCTTTAAACCCCCAAACCCCTAAGCCCCTAAACCCTAAAGCCCTTAAACCCTAAACCCTAAACCCCAAGTCCTACAAGGACAGCCCCTGAATGAGCGCGCCAAGCCACCGGTCTCCCACGCCGGGCTACCGGGCACCGGCTCGTTGCTGGAAGATCTGTGCCCTTTCCGGCGTGGATCCCTTTAACGGGCTTTAGGGATTAGGGGTTTAGGGTTTAGGGGTTTAGGGTTTAGGGTTTAGGGGTTACGGTTTAGGGTTTTAGGGTTTTGGGTTTTAGGGTTTAGGGTTTAGGGCTTCCTCTAAGGGCTATACTATTGGGGTAGTTCTGTAAATTTAGGGCCCCTTTTTAGGTCCCCCCAAAATTACGGCACCCTTTTAAAAAAAGGACCCTAAAAGGGACCCTAATTTAGAGAACTACCCACATAGGCCTCCATAATCGGGTTCCTTTAATGGTTTCTTTTGGGCTTAGAGTTCAGGTTCTCGGCTTGGATGGTTAGGATTTGGGTTTAGGTTCTGTTGTTTTAAGTTTTAGGCTTCAGGTTTAGAGCCTAAGGTTTAGGGTTTGGGGTCTAGCGTTTAGAATTCAGGATGTTGGCTTTGGGGCTTTGGGGTTTAGGGTGGGGCTTTGAACGTTGCGCGCAGGGTGTTACAAGGCCCACGTACCGATGCGGTATATACTTTTGACCGTAAAGTGCCTGTTTGAAGGTGTGTATTGCGACGTTCGTGATTGTATTTAGCAGGGATCTTTTGTGAATATTGGATGATATTGGTATATGGAAATGGAGTCTGCCGTTTTTCGCATAGGCATTGGGATACTCGTAGTAACTAACGCAGAACATCATGTACTTTGACTTGGATTTCGCCTATGCCCTGAACCCTACCATCCCGATACCTTACTTGTGGGTCCCCAGCTATCTTCTAGGGTTCTCTCACTGCGAAATCCTCGTAATTTGGAGTTCCTTAAATCGTTATTACAACGGGCCTTAATGGTTAGAACATTGAGGAACCACGTTTAACGTTTTCTGGAGTAGATGATATCATAAACGGTGATTATCTGATAGACCCCCTGTATGATGCTGCCTTGGCCGCAAGCCCAGTATCTAAGAATCATGTATTATCTTATGGGTAGTTCTCTAAAGTAGGGTCCCTTTTAGGGTCTTTTTTTTATAAGGGTGCCTAAACCCTAAACCCTAAAAAGGGACCCTAACTTTAGAGCACTACCCATGTACCAGGCTGCAGATCCCTAAGAGTCCGTGTACCCATGTGGTATGTAGCTTGGCCCGAAAGCGTCTAAATTCGGGACTACTTTAAGGCCATTACAATAGTAGATGCATGGACACTTGTTAGGGAAAGCAGATATCCTAAATCCTACTTGGACCCCAAAGAACCTTCCTTTTTAGCGTTCCTTATTATGACTTCCTTATATCAGTCCTTAGAAAGGTAGGTTCTTTGGGGTCTAGGTAGAGTGTAAAGCTTGTGCCTAATGATCGGGTCCCTTGGATCCTTATGGGACGGCCGAAGGCCTCGGGTGGTGTGTTTCAGGGTCGAGGTCTGGGGGGCGGTGCAACAGTTATGGGATCCTCAAAATTTATTTTGTTACAATTTAGTGCTGAGGGCTTAGCCCTTAGAGCGTGGCATTTCGGTGGTTCGAGGGAGGAGGCTGCTAGATCCTTGAGAGATTTGCGGATCACTATGAGTAGGTGGTAAACCTCCCTCGGACCTGCGTCGCTTAAGGATTGCATAGAGCATAAGGGGTCCTGAGCCATCCACGAGATGCTACCATGTTTAATCTCGAATTATCATAGAGTTCAGTGCGAAGGACTCAAATTAAGTTTTAGGGCTCCGCAAACTTGGATTCAGAGCCATGTAAACTTGGGTTCTTGGAATCTAGAGTTCTACAGTTCGGGCTCAAGATTGGAAATTTAGGGTGTAGGGGTTATGGCGTGGAATCTGAGTTTTTACTGCCCGCATCCGTGGGAAGGTACCGCAACCGAAAGCCCTGGGATAGCACACTGGACATGCCCCGTTTCGATGGCCAGCAGATGCTGAAGGCCGGCCGCACTTGAGTTAACAAAGGGGTCTTAACGTTTAGAATGATGTTTGGGGTATAGTACCAAATTAACTGGAACCAGCCCGAGGCACCGATATTGGTAGTTTTTTAGGCTTTTCTGATTCGGTTTTGCACTGCAGTATGCCGCAAGGGCCAGGACCACAGCCACAGCAACATCACGCGGTTGCCCTGCCCTTTTGCCAGCCAGGACGAAAGCATGCAGATCGAGTTCCTTGAGAGGACTGTGCACAGCATTCACACAGATAGCTTTTTGGAAATTTACAAGGAGGTTGCGCTGTGTACTCGTGATCATGGTGTCATGGTACAGATTAATTAGTAGGCCATCAACCTCGTTCGTGTGCGCATGTGCGTTGGTCCTGGTCTCAACATGCCTTCGTGCCCCCCAGACACCCATGAGATATTCTCACCGTGAATCACCCGAACCCCCCAAGCCAAACGCGCTCATGATCATGAACCAGAAGGCTCCAAATAGCCCACAAGCCTCATATAGCATGGTCTTTGGGCCCGAAAGCGTTAAAAGATGAACCCTTACAGCCTTAGGGGAAGATCCCAGAGAACCCAATACCCCTTAATATAAGAAAGGAATATACCTTATATCATAATATTCAGGCCCCTATAACTTAAGGTATATTCCTTAAGTGCTCTGGGATCTTTTGCAAGCTACAGAAGACCCAGGATCCTCTGATATAAGAATTGTTGACGAAAAGAGGAACTACAATGGATAATGAATACTATAGGTATGTTGAAGTTCTGATCTAGGAATGATAAGTAAGATGCTACGTGCCCTATGCCCTAGACCCTAAGCCCATCTAAACCTTGAATCTAAACTCTATACATCCCAAAACCTAAGCCCTGAAACCCTAAACCCTAAAACCCTAAACCCTAAACCTTAAACCCTAAACCCTAAACCCTAAAGCCTGAGCCCTAAGCAGCCCTGAGGATGATGGATCCAGGCACCGGACCATTTCCATGCCTTACCCAAAGGCTCCATGTACCCATAACGTATGTGCTTATGCCTTATTAAACGGATTCCTATATAGGTAGTTTCGGGCCAACGTATATGCTGTACAGGTACATGGAGCCCTTGGCTTAGTTTCCGACGCGCATGAGCTACTCCTTCAATCTTGGGGCTTAGGGTGCAGGGTTTCGGTTCTGGGGTTCAGGGCTGAGGGTACATGTGCATGACATGTTAGGGCTAACAAGAAAGCACCCCAGCTTCCCAGAGTATGTATCCCAGTCATATGCATGAGGAGTCTAGCCCAAAGGATCCAAAGTACCTGCATAGTAGAACGGTTTAGGGTTTAGGGTTTCTATATCAGGAATCTTTACTCTGAGTTGGGAATGTAATGTATCCCCCATAACAGTACCTAGCACCCTGTGCGTAGGTCTTCACACATCCAGTGCCACGTAAAGAGTCACGTAGACAATGCGGGTACCCTAAACCCTAAATCCTAAACCCTAAACCCTAAACCCCTAAACCCCTAAACTCCTAACCCCCAAAACTCCTAAGCCCCTAAATCCCCTAAAACCCCTAAACCTACCTGACATGCAGGCGTGGCTCTCGTCGAGAATATTGGAAAGCCAGAACCTGGGCTGCGCTCAGAAACCCTAAGGGTCCAAGTACTCGGTTTAGGGGTTTAGGGTTTAGGGCTCATTACTTAAAGACTTTAGGGGCCTCTATGGGTACCCAAAACCATGAATAAGGACTACTTGGACCCTTGGGGAAATGTATCGGAAGTCTGATCCCCTGCGAGAGGCGGACGCTTCGGACCATTTCTTATTTCGTAACCTAAGGGTTCATCAAACTACATAGTGTGTACTAACCGTCAACTTTGAATTTCTCAAAAAGGCACCTCAGGGTATGGAATCGCAACCCTAAACCCCTAAACCCCCAAACCCCAAGCCCCTAAACCCTAGACCCCTAAACCCTAAAGCCCCTAAACCCTAAACCCCTACACCCTAAACCCCCAAACCCTAAACCCCAAACCCCTAAACCCTAAACCCCTAAACCCTAAACCCTTCCCGCTGCGTATTCCAAAGCCCAGGACAGCTTCGACCATCTCGACTGTGGGAAGCCACTGGAGGCAAGCGTAAAGAACCCTTTAAAGGGCTGTACTATAGGGTTTAGGGTTTAGGGTTTTAGGGGTTTAGGGTTTAGGGTTTAGGGGTTTAGGGTTTAGGGGTTTAGGGTTTAGGGGTTTAGGGGTTCAGGGTTTAGGGTTAGTGGTTTAGGGGTTTAGG